AGATGATCAGACCATCATCAGACCATCATCGGACCATCAGAGCATCATCAGACCATCTTCAGACCTCCTTCAGATGATCAGACCATCATCAGACCATCATCGGACCATCAGAGCATCATCAGACCATCTTCAGACCTCCTTCAGATGATCAGACCATCATCAGACCATCATCGGACCATCAGAGCATCATCAGACCATCTTCAGACCTCCTTCAGATGATCAGACCATCATCAGACCATCATCGGACCATCAGAGCATCATCAGACCATCTTCAGACCTCCTTCAGATGATCAGACCATCATCAGACCATCATCGGACCATCAGAGCATCATCAGACCATCTTCAGACCTCCTTCAGATGATCAGACCATCATCAGACCATCATCGGACCATCAGAGCATCATCAGACCATCTTCAGACCTCCTTCAGATGATCAGACCATCATCAGACCATCATCGGACCATCAGAGCATCATCAGACCATCTTCAGACCTCCTTCAGATGATCAGACCATCATCAGACCATCATCGGACCATCAGAGCATCATCAGACCATCTTCAGACCTCCTTCAGATGATCAGACCATCATCAGACCATCATCGGACCATCAGAGCATCATCAGACCATCTTCAGACCTCCTTCAGATGATCAGACCATCATCAGACCATCATCGGACCATCAGAGCATCATCAGACCATCTTCAGACCTCCTTCAGATGATCAGACCATCATCAGACCATCATCGGACCATCAGAGCATCATCAGACCATCTTCAGACCTCCTTCAGATGATCAGACCATCATCAGACCATCATCGGACCATCAGAGCATCATCAGACCATCTTCAGACCTCCTTCAGATGATCAGACCATCATCAGACCATCATCGGACCATCAGAGCATCATCAGACCATCTTCAGACCTCCTTCAGATGATCAGACCATCATCAGACCATCATCGGACCATCAGAGCATCATCAGACCATCTTCAGACCTCCTTCAGATGATCAGACCATCATCAGACCATCATCAGACCTCCTTCAGATGATCAGACCATCATCAGACCATCATCAGACCATCTTCAGACCATCATCAGACCATCTTCAGATGATCAGACCATCATCAAGCCATCTTCAAGCCATCTTCAGGCCATCTTCAGGCCATCTTCAGACCATCTTCAGACCATCATCAGACCATCAGACCATCATCAGACCATCATCAGACCATCTTCAGACCTCCTTCAGATGATCAGACCATCATCAAACCATCTTCAGACCTTCTTCAGACCATCATCAGACCAATCTTTTTCAATAATTGATGGATGGCGTTCACTCATCATCACATACACTGATGATGCTGATCGACAGTTTACAGATGTTTTCCTCATTAATCACATGATGGGACAGACCTGACGTGTCGGTGACCTTTGACCCCAGAGGAAACGAATGAATGTTTAATATTAGATGCTCAGGAGCTCTGAGTGTTTCATCCTCTGTGACACGCTGCCTTCACTGTCCGCTTGATCTGTGGGAAATTACACTGAACTCCAGCCGCACATTAATTTCCCTGAGATGTGAATCTGGTTTGTTTTGCTGTCATGTTGTTGTTGTTGTTGTTGTTGTCACCACTCTCTGTACTCCCTCTGACATGTTGCTTTTTGGGTCTTTCTGCATCTTTAAGTGAACACACTTGATTCCCCGACGTCTCTCATGCGTCCCCCTACACTCGGCTTTAAAGACAGAGATGAAGGCAGTTTCCTCCCCCCCCTAAAGAGGGCAGTGTAACCTGGGAGTTGGAGCTGCCGCCTGTCAGTCAGCTCAGAGGGCAGCAGAGGGACGACGCCTGTTTGATTTCACTCTGCTGTTTTCTGCTTCACAAATAATCTCCAAACGTCAGCGGGACCATGAAACTGCTCTGAACGAGTGGAGCTCCACGTCCTCCGTCTCCGACCTCTAATTGATTTGAAGAGGAAGATAAATGATGTTTCGGGCCCCCGGCTTTGAAATGAAGTGAATCTAGGAAACCCCCAGTGGAAAGGGGGGGGGGGGCTAATCTCTCCATTTAAGAGTTGGGAGCAGATTTCACATGAATCACTTTTTCCCTCCTCAGCTGAACTCCAGTGGAAGAGTTTCATCAGAGACATGAAACGCTCCGTCAGGTCTGAGTGAGGACGTGTGGACCGGCCGGGTCAGGGGTCAGGGGTTGGGGGGGGGGGGCTTGGGTCCTCTCTCCTGGCCTCTTCGCCAACACTGCCGCAGCTCCTTCAGCCTGTTGACCTGATGTGAGCTGAAGTGAAAAGAGCCGAGCCGCCATGTTGGACAATGTGTCTGAGTGTGATGCAGATTCATCACTGAGACGCAGCTGAAGAAACTTTTTCCTTCACAGAAGAAACACGGTGGAAAATACTCACACACATTAACTTCAGCTCACAGAGATCATCCCGTTCAGATTATATATATTTATAATTATTCATTTATATTTTAACATTTGGATCCAGATGGTGATCGGGACGTTTTCCAGCATGAACATTAATTAGCACTAATCATAAAATCTACATGGTTCACACTGTTTTCTAAAGATCATTATCAGTGATGATTGTCATGTGACCAACACATTCCATCTGTGGAGATGTGATGCATTCACTGACGAAAAAACATTCCAGAAGATTCTGAGATAATTACCTCGTTAATTCAAAAAAACAGAGCAGGAACTTTTGACTTTTTTTCTGAATTAACAGGATCATTATTAGTGAATGTATTTCGCTTCTGTAATCCTTGGCTGTGCTCATCTATGAAATCATCCCTCTAATGCTAAATTAATCAAGAAACTGTGACGAATTGATCGCAACAACTTTCGCAAAAATTTAATTAATTTATAACCTGACTCACTTTCGTCTTATGAATTATATATAAACATATATATAATATATATATGTATACGAATAATAACTGAACAGTAACCCACAACAGTCCCTCCAGGATTTCACAGCAGCTTTTTTTAACAATTGTCACGTTTTTAAATGTTTTTATATGTTTTGTTTTTTTTTGCAGTTTGTGGGAAAAGATAAAAATTGTCTCTAATTCATTAAAATGCAGCTTGTTCCACAGAGAGTGATCCAGGTGAACAGTTTGATCAGAGTGAACGATGAATGAAAGGATGTTTTCTGTCTTTTCATCTTCACTAATTCACCATTTAATTCACTGAGCAGCTCAGAGGCCGCAGCAGCTGCCGCCATCTTTTAAGGTGGAATGCTTTCTTCAGTGTGACTTGATGTGTGATTGACATTTGGAAATCAATAACCTTAACTGTCAACATGACTCTGACCGTGTGTTTTTATCAGCTGTACTTGACAGACTCAGTGACGATCAGATCTTCAGCTTCTTCAAATGTAGAAAAACATCAACGTGATCATGTGACTGTAGATGTTTTATTTCCTCTGGAGAATAAAAGCAGTGGAGCGTCGTTTAGGTGGCTCCAGCTCTACACCTGTGGCTCCAGCAGCTCTACACCTGTGGCTCCAGCAGCTCTACACCTGTGGCTCCAGCAGCTCTACACCTGTGGCCCCAGCAGCTCTACACCTGTGGCTCCAGCAGCTCTACACCTGTGGCTCCAGCTCTCTGCCTGCGGTTCCAGCAGCTCTACACCTGTGGTTCCAGCAGCTCTACACCTGTGGCTCCAGCAGCTCTACACCTGTGGCTCCAGCTCTACACCTGTGGCTCCAGCTCTACACCTGTGGTTCCAGCAGCTCTACACCTGTGGCTCCAGCAGCTCTACACCTGTGGCTCCAGCTCTATGCCTGTGGTTCCAGCAGCTCTACACCTGTGGTTCCAGCAGCTCTACACCTGTGGCTCCAGCTCTACACCTGCGGCTCCAGCTCTACACCTGCGGCTCCAGTAGCTCTACACCTGCGGCTCCAGCAGCTCTACACCTGCGGCTCCAGCTCTACACCTGCGGCTCCAGCTCTACACCTGCGGCTCCAGCTCTACACCTGCGGCTCCAGCTCTACACCTGCGGCTCCAGCTCTACACCTGCGGCTCCAGCTCTACACCTGCGGCTCCAGCTCTACACCTGCGGCTCCAGCTCTACACCTGCGGCTCCAGCTCTACACCTGCGGCTCCAGCTCTACACCTGCGGCTCCAGCTCTACACCTGCGGCTCCAGCTCTACACCTGCGGCTCCAGCTCTACACCTGCGGCTCCAGCTCTACACCTGCGGCTCCAGCTCTACACCTGCGGCTCCAGCTCTACACCTGCGGCTCCAGCTCTACACCTGCGGCTCCAGCTCTACACCTGCGGCTCCAGCTCTACACCTGCGGCTCCAGCTCTACACCTGCGGCTCCAGCTCTACACCTGCGGCTCCAGCTCTACACCTGCGGCTCCAGCTCTACACCTGCGGCTCCAGCTCTACACCTGCGGCTCCAGCTCTACACCTGCGGCTCCAGCTCTACACCTGCGGCTCCAGCTCTACACCTGCGGCTCCAGCTCTACACCTGTGGCTCCTCCACAGAGTTGTACAGAACTATTTAACCCTTTCATGTGCGACATGCTGAACGTCTTCACACGTCTTTAACAGGGATGTTGGTTGATGAATGTGATACATTCATGTCACACGTGTCTGCAGCTTCACAACATGCTTCAACACCAGGAACAAGGAAGTGAGTCTGGTGACATCATCAAGGTGCTGATCAGGGACTGGTCTGATTGGCTCAATGGAGGGAAACTTTGATGATTTTTGGTCAAATTTATGGAAAAGTTACAGTGAACGGAGAAAAGTGAAGGTCACACAGAGTTCACAGGGATTGGTTGAATCTGTGTTAATGACTGTGACTTCCTGGAGGAAGTGACATACTGACCATCTAGAAAACTGAGATCTGGAGGAAACGTGTCTGCAGCTCCGCACCTGAGTGAATGTCGTCATTTCCCTCCTCTGTGGTCAGGTGTCACACACCTGAGAGCTCCTGACAACACAACTGACCTCAGACACATCAACAGTCACAAAGCTGCTGCAGCGTTTTATTTCAGAATAAGAGTCTATGAAAAAAGACAAACACACACAGTGTGAGAGGAGGAACAGACATGTCCTCTCATTTCATCATCATCATCATCATCATCATGTGAAAGCAGCAGCTGCTCTCAGAGCGTCCACAGTGAAAACGGCGCCGGTCACATGACCTCTGTCCAGGCTCCTCCTCCTACAGACATCAGCTGCGGCCCAGAGGAGGAGCAACGTTTGAGTCCTGACTCCGAGAAGTCCAGGTGTGATCAGGTGACACAGCTGTTCACCATCATCCTCCACATCTGGATCTGTCCTCTCTCTCTCTGTGTCTGTGCTCCAGCTGGACAATCCTAGTAACAAAGCGTCTTGGTCACCCCAGACACGGCGGTGGCGGTGGTGGGGTGTTCCCACATCTGGTCAGGTAGATGCCCAGAGGGGGTGGGGCTTCGGGGACAGACAGGTGAGGAGGTGTGGGGTCCTGCTCCACATCGCCACCATGGAGGTCTGCAGAGGAAACAGAAGACAACAACAAATCAACAGGAAGTAAACTTCAAAACAAAGCGAAGAGGAGGGACTGGTCCAGGTGAGTCGACATGAAATCACCGGAGAGAGGCGGCGTGCTAACGACTCACAGCACTCGCTCACATACTGCAGCTAACTGAACTGCCATTTTGATTTGATGCGTCAAGCACAAACACGTCAATGACGATCTGCCGCATGCAAGACGAGAACGACGTCCAAGAGGAATGTAAACAAAACAAGTGATGTCACAACCTCCGTCTGTCCTCTGCGTTTATCTCAGCTCGTCAACGATGACACGTCTCATTTTAAAACTACAACCACCTCTGTCCACACACCTGGAAACACACATCCAATCTTTTCAAAATAAAACTCAACCCCAGAGTTTTCAGAATGAAGCACATCTGTTTTACGGCTGAAGACTCGATGGGTTTAAAAGTAAAAGGTATTAATGTGGGCGGAGCCTCAGAGAACTGTTGGTCTGTGATCTATGATCGACACCTGGAATGACTCTGGTTCACAATCCAGTCTGGTGTGTGTGTGTGTGTGTGTGTGTGTGTGTGTGTGTGTGTGTGTTGTGGTTGCGGCTGCATGCATGGCTGCATCCGATCCAGCTGAACCAGGTGTATTGTTTCCTCAGTGAAGGGGGGGGGGGGCATGCCTCTGAACACTCTTAATTGACTTTGGGTCTGAGTGATGTTGCCGAATATGACTGACGCACAATATTTAACCCCCCCCCCCCCCCCCACTTCCTCTTTTACCCGTAAACGTCTCCTTCCTAATCTCTCCCCTCCCCGCGCTGTATTCATGCCCCCCCCAAGTAATACAAACAGCTTACAGAGTATTGGACCTCTGTGTAATCAAATAAAGAGATGTAGAGCGTTGTGCGTCTTCTACTAATGATCAGCTCGTATAGAGCGGGGAACATCGAAGAGGATCTCAGAGGATAATTGACCTTTAAAATGCAGAGAGCTGCTTTAACTAGTGAAGAGCAGCAAGCAGGACGGTTTTGACGTGTCGTGTATATCTCTTCTTCATGTCGCACGTTTGTGGTTTGAAGATCAAGCAAGCGGACCATGTCCGCAGGCGCGCGCGAGGAGGCCCAGACCCCAGACACTGCCAGGGGCCCAGACACTCAGGGGCCCAGACACTCAGGGGCTCCAGACATACTCAGGGGCCCAGACACCCAGGGGACCCAGACACCCTCAGGGGTCCCAGACAGACTCAGGGGCCCAGACACCCAGGGGCCCAGACACTCAGGGCCAGACACTCAGGGGTCCAGACCACTGCAGGGGCCCAGGACACTCAGGGGTCTCAGAGACATAGGGGCCCAGACAACCCAGGGGCCCAGACAACCAGGGGCCCAACACTCAGGGGCCCAGACACTCAGGGGCCAGACACTCAGGGGCCCAGACACCCAGGGCTCCTCATCATTGAGTCCTACACATTTATTGAAGTTCAAAAAAATGAGGTATTCAACTCAAAAAAAAAATTTTTTTGTTCCCTCTTATTTTGAAAGTCCCTGCTTTCCAGTTTTCTTTACCTTCTCCCCAGACCTGTTTTCACCGTGATGTTCAGCAACTGCAGGCCACACACCCAAGAGTCCCTGAACCTTTAGGATAAGTACTACGCCCCCGATTCCCCCGGAACAAAGTTAGACCCTGGTTTTCCTGCGGTGGAACGCCAGCTTCCTGTGGTTTTGTTTCGTCTCTTTTGTCTTTCAGCATCGACACACTGACTGTTGTTGGACTGGAGTCACTCACACGCTGGTGTCCTGGGCGCTGGGACGGCTCCTCTGGCTGCAGGGTGGTGCTGGTGCTACATGTAGTGCCACTGTCCCTCCACACCCATCCCCATCCCACCTATAGACCTGACACACCACACACACAACAAACACGCACACGCCACACACACAGCACACACACAGCACACGCACACAGCCTCCTCTGTTTTTAAGCCCCCCCCCCTTGTTAGCTCTTTCTGTTAGTTCCTCTGTTAGCTCCTCTGTTAGCGCCTCTGTTAGCTCTTCTGTTAGCTCCTCTTGTTAGCTCCTCTGTTAGCCCCTCTGTTTAGCCCCCTTCTGTTAGCCCCTCTGTTAGCCCCTCTGTTAGCCCCTCTGTTAAGCCCTTCTGTTAGCTCCTCTGTTATCCCCTCTGTTAAGCTTCCTCTGTTAGCTCCTGCTGTATCCCCTCTGTTAGCCCCTCTGTTAGCTCCTCTGTTAGCCCTCTGTTAGCTCCTCTGTTAGCTCCTCTGTTAGCCCCTCTGTTAGCTCCTCCTGTTACTCCTCTGTTATCCCTGTTAGCCCGCCTCGTCAGCCACCCTCTGTTAGCCCTCTGTCAGCCCCTCTGTTAGGCCCTTCTGTTTAGCTCCCTGTTAGCCCCCTCCTGTTAGCTCCTCTGTTTAGCACCCTCTGTTAGCTCCTCTGTTATCCCGCTCTGTTATCACCCCTGGTAGCTCCTTTGTTAGCACCTCTGGGTTTAAGCGCCTGGTGCTAAGTAAATAAACCAAGCTTCAATCAAGGTGGAGTGGTGGAGTCCCTGACATGAAAACCCGTTTATTTCTGTGGTGATCAACCCTTCAGTAAGAATGTGTGTGTTTACCAAGGTTGGTCCTGATTCCCATGTGTGTCTGTGTCCATGACGAAGCCTCCCATTGGCTGACCATACTGGGCCGTACGGTCCCCGCCTGCTTCACTGCGGACAGAGAGGGAAACGACTGTTTCATTATCTCACCGTCACGTTGCACACTGAAAGAGGAGGGGGGAGGGGCTGACAGCTGCTGTCACGTCACAGACACTCCAGCTCGCTCTGGCAGAAGGAAACAACGACTTCAGTTCTTCATCGTTATAATCAATATTCAGTTCAAATAAAGTCACTGCGAATAACACAAACTGCTTTAACTGGAAACCTGGTTGTTTTTATGGTTTCATGTGGTTTTAGGTTCAATCTTCACAGGTCGACATTCCCTGCAGCGTAAAGCCCAGAGGGTGAGTGGGGGTGAGAGAGGGTGAGGGGGGTGAGGAGACCAGGGAGACACTCAGCCTTGACACAATAAATTGAGGAAGTTTATAATTATCATGCTAATAAATCTGTTAAAAGTGGGACAGGTGAGATCTGGTTTTTTTGTTTGAACCTCTGAGGTCAAGAAGGACGAAAATCTTACGGAGGCCTGAGATGCTGGCGTTAATGCTGCTGGGAAACGACAAGATCAACAGACTCTGATGTGTTTAAAGCTCCTGTTTAGTTCTGTGGCTGTTTCCGTTTTTGTTAGATTATTAGATGTTTGTGGGGGGGGGGTTGAAGAGAGTCCTCCTCAGTCGCCGGGGGTAGGGGGTTTTGGGAGTCAGCCCCCGGGGTTTAAATGCTAACAAGCTTAGGGGCCAAAGGCTAGCGGGACCTTTAGCCCCCGCTCTAGCTGGGCTCCCATTTTGTTTATTCAAATGCCCAGGTTAAAGTGTTTTCAATGGAGAGTCCCAGTTCAAAGGCGATTCGCATCTTTGTCTGGAGCTTAATCCTGCTGAGGCCAATTCAATCCTGCCAGCTTAAGCTTCTGGGTCCACTCCAAACCTCAGGAGTCCCCACTGCAGCATCTGCTTCTGTTCCATCAGGTAATCCTCCTCCACCTCTGAACACATGAGACAACCTGGACGACTGAGAACACCTGGACGACCTGAGACACCCTGGACGAGCCTGAGACACCTGGAAGACCTGAGACACCTGGACCCGACCTGAACACCTGGACGACCTGAGACACCTGGAGGACCTGCGGCTTCTCACTCCTCTGACGTGTTGGTCCTGAAACTGAAACCAGCTTGTTCATTATCCACTCAAACAAGAAAATATGATTTTAAATAATAAAATTAAAAGTCATGACAAGTGGTACATGTCATTAAGTTGCCTTTCTTCTTCTACTGTTGAATATTATCCAAACAGGAAAGACTCACAACCCAGCAGGTAAAACACTAACTCCTCTTGCATAGGCCATCACCTCTTCCACCAACAGTAATCAGGTACGAGCAGATTCTTTAATTGAGGGGTAAACCTGCTAATTAAAGCAGATCGACTCCTTTTTCCAGCAACAAGTCCAGTTTGTCTATTCTGTTTCCGGACTGAAGACTCAACAAGGAAGAGAGAGAGTGAGCTCTAGCCACCATGCTAACTCATCCTCAGGCCTCTGCCTGTTAAAGTGTCGGAGCCTCCAGGTGGAGACGCTTCTCAGAGAGAGTTTAAAACCTTATTTCAGATGCTTGCTTCCACTCTTTAGTCTCCACAGTGGGTTTTGGTTTTAAAGCACCGTCAGGACGGGTGACGGGTGACGGGAAAACTAGTAATAAGCTCAATTTAAAGAAAACGCAGGTAAAGACCCAAATAAAACAGTTCAGTCCATCAGTCCCCTCCAGCGTGACGCCGCGGCCCCGGTCTTGTTGAGTGAAGGAGCTCTGCTCCGAACACACGTCCCCATGACAACATAGAACCAGAACCAGAACAGAACTCTCTGAACCCTGAATCTGGAAAAGCGAACTTCGACGGGAACATAAACCATAAATCACTCCCGACCAGAATCCAGGGCAACTTCTCACTGGTGCTAACAGGCGACATCAAAAGTCTCCTTCTTCTTCTCTGTTGGTTTAAGAATTGATCTGAAGATTTTCTTTTCTCTGATCATTTTTACAGCTCGCCAGAGTTAAAGATTTCACATCGATCTTTGAATTTGAAAATTGAAGCATCAAGTGTCCTGTGCGCTGTGACTGGACTACCTGGACGCTCGCGACTTCCACCTGCCTCTGTTGGACTGGTCGATTCATGCCGGCTGGACGAATCCGCCGCCTGGCGTTGATGAACTGAGGACGAAGGAGAAAGAAGAGAGGAAAATAAAGATGTCTGAGTCAGCGGACACGCAGAGACGTGAAAGCTCTGATTCACCGAGGGACATCGAATGCCTCACCACACACTGCCCACAATCTGAAGTTCTTATCATAACGTGATGTTTCCTGTCTAATAAAATGAACCCTGCTTCATGTGGAAGCTCAAGAACATCTGTCGGTCCCAGTGGAAGCATCTGGCTGCTGAAGTTTGTTCTTTAACAGAGAAAATGTTTTTGGGAGAAGAATTGAAGGAAAAATTCATTATGGTCTCTGATAGAAAATATGAACAATGTTCATAGGACGGAGGCACGACGACGGGGTTTAGTCACTCAACATTAGCGGGTTAGCAGGTTAGCAGGAGTGTCGGGTTTAGCGGGTGAGCGGTTAGCGGTTGAGCGGGTTTATGCAGGTGAGCGGGTTAGCAGATGAGCGGAGTATATATATATATTGAGCGGGTTAAAAAAGCAGATAGAGCGGGTTAGCAGGTGAAGTCGGGTAGCAGATGGAGCGGGTATTTTGCAGGTGAGCGGGTTTAGCAGGTGAGCGGGTTAGCAAGATGAGGGGTTATGCAGAATGAGCGTGGGGGGGTTAGCAGGTGAGCGGGTTAAAGAAAGATGAAGCGGTTAGCGGGTTTTAGGTAACGGTTTAGTTCAACAGCTGAACTGGTTTGTTTTCATCAGCTGGTGAAACTCACTGCTGTATTTGGTACTTTCATTGGATCAACTCAGAAAGTAGTGAGCCAATCGAAGACAGCGCTCAGACCCCCTCTCTTAGGAAATGGGTCCAAGCACTTTAAATAAAAGCAAAGAAGAAGAAGAAAACAGTTCTTTTGAGCAACGTCGATGTGAATTCCATGTTTTTCTACAGTTTTGAATCTTTAATCCTGGAGTTGCGGTCGACTGTTCTACAGAGTTGAGATTATTATACCTGAAATCGGGGGGGGGGGGGGTGCGTTCATACATGTCCCCTTCTAAGTACACTTTTTGAAAGCATGATCCTGGTATGTGTGACCTATTGACCCAACACTCCTGTGCCCCCCGGGCCTTTCCCCTCCTCAATCTTAAAGCCTTCTGAACTGCCCACACCCCTCCGCCCCGCCGTGAAAGTCTGTGTTTCCACTTGATTTATGTCCTACACAACACCCCCCCCCCCCCCCTCCCCCAATTTAGATGGTTCCATTTCAACTTGTTCAGAAAAGGGGGGGGGGGGGTTCTCTCTCTTTTGAAGAAAAAAAAAGGTGGGGACGTCCCCAGTTTCCTTTTCAGGAAAACAAAAGCCAGAGGAGTCTTTTCCAGGGAGTGAAAGAAAGGGCGAGGGGGGGGGGGGGTCAATGTCGCTTGGAAGGCCTGTGAAGCGTCAGGATCTGAAAGCAATAAGTGCTGTTTTTTCAAAACTAAAAACCGTTTAAAGCTGAAGCAGAACAGGAAACAGGAAGTGCTGTGAAATACAGAGTGAAAACTAGAAGCACCTCCTCCTGGTCGGTATCCTCCCACTCAAGACTAAGTTTTCAAGCGTCAGCTTCCCTGTTTAAATCCCAGAATCATAATATATGAACTGGTATCACTCACATCACTCCTCACACACTCACTCACACAATCACTCACACTCACTCAACTCACTCACTCACGTCACTCACTCACTCACTCACTCACTCACACACTCACTCACTCACTCAACTCACATCACTGCACTCACACACTCACTCACTCAACTCACTCAACATCAACTCACTCCACTCACTCACACACTCACTCACTCACAACACTCACTTCACGTCACTCACGTCACTACACATCTCAACTCACTACTCACTCCACTCAACTCACTCCACTCACTCACTTCACTCACACCACTCACTCACTCACATTCACTCACTCACTCACTCACACACTACTCACACTCACTCACAACTCCACTCACACTCACTCACTCACTCACTCACTCACACACTCACTCACACTCCACCTACACTCACGTCACATACTCACTACACTCACTCACTCACCACATCACTCACTCACATCCCCTCCACCTCATCACTCACTCACTTCACACACTCAACTCCACGTCACTACACAGCTCACCTCACTCACACTCACTCACTCACTCACGTCACTTCACCTCACTCTACACACTCATCTCACACTCACTCACACTCCACTCACTCACCACTCACACTCACTCACACTCACCGTCACACTCACTCACTCACTCACTCACTCACACACTCACTCAGGACTCAGGTAGGAC